TGTAGCGCAGAGGTTTTAGCGGGTCCTTTTAGGTTCCAATTTGATCACAAGTAATACTGAACACAGTAGAAATACTGAATCACAGCAGCAGCCCTGAGACAAATGTACATTAAATCTGCCGTAACGGGCAGCCTCCACTGAGCCATACTTTGCTCCTGATAGAATAATATCCTGTAGATTAGCACTAAGATAATATATTCCTATTTCATACTTATTTTATAATAGAGCCCGACGGCTCAGTCAAGAATAAATCCTGGTTACGTTACATTCTGTGCAAAAATAACACATCGTACTCCTGTCCTGTCCAGCTCTCTCGTTAGGATGAGATGGAAACACAACAAATGAACGCAACGTTAAGGAGGACAGGAAATGCGGGGTGAGAGTACCACCGAGTTTTGGGTGATTTAAACAGGCGATGTGCACAATTATGCAGTGACAAATAAGCAAAGTTATCAGTCGGTGATAACCGTTAACGCTCTTTTCATGTGATTTTTGCATTCAAGTTGGGAAACTCTTCAACACGAGTATTTTTTCCTCGGTGCGCAATGGCATCTCAGACTGTGACAATCTGTGATAGTTTAAAAACTGAACTCCTACAGTTTATTGTAGGAATGAGTATGAAGGGGACCTTTAGGCAGGCCCTGAGGAGAAAGTGTTAGGAGAGCGTTAAAAGCAGTTGGTTTATACATAGCTGCCTGCTACCCCCTACACCCAGCCTTGCTTCCTCCACCCCCCTCCAGCAGGCAGGGGGAATGGGGTAGTAAATAATTACTGAGTTCTCACTTGACCTCTTCAACAAATGAAACAGCCAGTTTAAAATATTTTTTATTTTTTTTTTAAAAAAAAAGCACTTAGGTGCTGCATATTTATTCCTTTTTGCTGACAGCTGAGTGCTCCCGCAGCACGGCGAGGCCCCCGGGGGGGCTCTGTGTCAGAGAAACTGGAACCAAAGCACCCTGCTCAGGGGTCAGAGAGACAAAACCAGAAAAGTTGCAGAATAGTTGGCAGCAGCTCCACTGGGGAAGGGTGGGGACATGGAATGGGAATATTTTCAGACAAAAAAATGAGATTTTTTTTTTTTTTATTTAAGCTTTACTTCTTGTTGTAATAAATCAAACGGACTTACTTCCTCCATGGCAATCTGTGTAAGTAGAGAAGAAAAGGAGCACTTTTTGAAGGTGGGGATAGACAGCTGGTTAAAAAAATAGTATTCCAGGAATCGGCTTTTGACAGTTCAGCAAGACTTTATGTTTACTGACATTTAAGGTGTGTTTTACAGAACTGAAGTATTCCTATGTGAATTGGTGTATCACAAATAAAATGACCATGTAAAAGACATCTTACAGGCATAAATGGGCAGAAAGGTGGGGAGATGCTTCATGTTTCCAAGGACCCTGTATGATCTCCTGCTTTCCCCCGGTTGAATTCCACGCCGCCGGTGCCTGGACTGGGGGACCAAAGTCCCAGTCCCTCGCCCTGCTCCCACCGATGCACCTCCTCCGCCCAGGGTGCGGCAGCCATCTCCTGACGAACTAAGCTGCACCATTCCACCACTGCTAATAAATGGTTTGGTGTGAGCAGCGCTGCCATCAGACTCTCCCCAGACTCCCTACCTGCAGAACTTCTCAGGAAAGCACGGTCAGCTTTCTCACGGCTCCCTTGCAGAGCTCCTGCTCCAGCACCGAAGCCTCATGTCCAGGCTGGAGTGTAAATTGCGTTCTCAGTCCTCAGCGGGATTAGAAAGACTACTGTACACGTCCCACCGACCTCATATGCTTCGCAGCTGATGGCAACCTTCCAACACATTGAAAGTTGGCTCTTTAAAAAAAAAAAAAGTATCAAAACGCATGTTTCTTCATGGTAACAACATTGCCATCCTTCCATTTATGGGATAGGCATTAGGAAAGTGGGATTTTTGCATCATGACTGCATTTATTAGCTTTTATTCATGATATCTGAAGAAGGTCCCTTTTGTTCTATAAACTTTACAATAAATATGTGCCAAAGCAGAAACATCTGACAGCATTCCTTTTTTAATTTACCCTGTCAAGCACACGCTGCCTGGGATAAGATATGGCTGTAGTATCCTATTAATCTCATTGCAACAGAGTCCCTTTGGGAAAATACATCACCATCCATCCAGCCGAGCCTAGCAGGATGCTGAGGCTCATGCGATGCTGCTATAAGATCTACCAGCTGGGGGGGATCCAAGTTTCTTCTCTCACTCCCGTCAGACACTTTTAATGGTTTTATTAGACAAAGCTTCCCTCCTGACAGCAGTGCTGATTCCCTGGGCTTTTCAGTTCATCTGCTCTATGTGTGACTTGAGCAAAAATGGTCTTGTATCCCACCTACGCTGCTACCTCATCCATATATGGCAAAGCCCACCTAAATACTTACACGATGGAAAAACGTAGGGAAAATAGAATTGGCCGGTTCTGTCACTGAATTTAAAATCTCTTTCAAAAGTTGCTCTGTAATCTTTTCAGCTTCTGCACCAGGGTGATGTTGTCTTGGTGCTGGGTCAGTACGTTCACCTGCTGTATCAAAATCATCTACTTTCTGCCTGGACAAAAAGCAAGTAGTAAGAAAGCATCATTTTGCCACAACCAGATAAAGAACAGCAGGCGAGGGATCAAAAGCAGAACTAATCCTTAGCGTGCTAGGCACATACGTGTTTGCCATTAATTTATCTAATGGACAGGCTCAAAACTGAGTGGAAGGTAAAGCTGCCCTTGCCCATACCACATTTCACTCCAGCTATCATCTGAACAGCAAACACAGCATAGAAGTGATGTCAGAAATTTAAAAAAAAAATAAATAAATCTGCTGGGACAGTGGATTTTAAAAACAAACACCTAGCATTAACACTTGCCACGAGCCTCACATTACCTGCCACATGTCGGAAGGTTGGTTTCCGTGCTGACTACACCAGGGAGTCACACGGGTCACCGGTCGGCAGAGAGCAGCGCGGGGAAGCACCGCTGTTGGGTGGAAGGTTGTGAGCCCCGGCCTAGGGAACGTGCAGCACTGCTCTGAGGGCAACTTCAGAGATGGCGTTTTCCTCCCGCACCCAACACACAACTGATGGGAGGAGGGAGGTCAGGGCTGCTCTTCCACGTCCGGTAGTTTGGCATTAAAAGGTCTGGCCCCACAGCGGCTACCAAAAAAGCCGTCGGTAACAAGGAAACTTGGCCAGATTGCCCCTGTCGAGCTAAGCCGCAAACCGAACTCCAGTGACAGCAAGTCTGAATTATCTAACCTCAGCAACATCGCTCAGGGGTGAAGTCAGACAAAAGAAAGGCTTCACCAGACCCCGAAGGCCAAGGGTTTTAATTACATTCACACGGTGAACACATAAAACGTTTTCTGAAGCAGGTCTTTGCCTGACCCGTGCCAGTCCAGGCCTATCGACAGTCGGGACACAGAGACGGTACTCTGGCGCGGCAGTTGCGTCGAGCTGCGGCTTGAACCGTTTCTCACCGCACCGACCACGCACGGCACCGCTTGCTCTGAGCAGCGGGGCCAAGGGCGCGCCTGCTTCTGCCCGACGCCAGGACGTACTGCTGAGAGCGGGGCTCTGG